TCCTCTTTGCTGACAAGCCAATATGTCCCGGCTTTCCCAGAGGTATGTCTGCCTGCATGGTAGCTTGAGCAGCTTCCCACTTGCCAGCAAGGTGACACTGGACCTGTCAAAGGTGAAAGGGTTTGACCCTCTTTGCTCAATGCTATGACTGAAGTGACAAAGTTTTTCTTCCTAAATGTCCTTTCAGCTCAGTTTTCCTCAGCAAAATTCCCATCGAAGCTTTGACCTTGAGCCTTAAAGGTACTTATTTACTCAAATCTAATACACTATGCCAAGCTAGGTGCATGATTAAAGATTGAAAATCATTAGCTCGTATGACCCACTCTCTCAGCAGTTTCATTTCTCATATGTCAGTGCCTCGTATCTAATCTTGAATGGTTTACAGCAAGATCTACCTCCCAGAGCAAATTCCCATCGTTGGGCTGTGCTGCCTCAGACTAATCGTAGGAACATTCCTTAGGTCCCTTTTCCACATATGGGCCCACTCCCATCCCAGTATCATCTTGCCAAGTAAAATTTTCTAACTACTGCTACTTTGTTAAATGAGTTGTGAAATATAATGTTAGAGCTTTCTTATCCCACGTATTTTTATACCTATATAAATCATACATTGAAAATGCAATTTGAGGGTTGTCCACTGCCAGTTAAGTAGAAAAATACTTATGAAGACTGAAATAAAACAAAAGGATACGCATGAAAAGAAATTCATTTTTTCAAGTTCCATATCTAGACCCAACTGCATAGCATCAGATACAGTTTCTGTACACATTAAAAATCCTATCCGGATAAAATATGTAAAAACAATAGTAACATTTTGTGTGTGTTTGTTTTGGCTTGCCTTTTCTGGTTTGTGTTTTCCTTAGTGGAAATGCACATTTTTGGACCAGATGTTGAATGTAACAAAATCCATATTACTTTTTGACTGCAGTATCAAAAAGAAATAGACTTTGGGAGTTTTCCCCATCAAATATGCAAGTCATCAACTTTTGTTTTGGGTAATACCAGTACCAAAAGAGACGGTTCCTGGTTGTAACTTGTCACTAGCCCTTTGATACTTGAGCAGCTGCAGCCACGAGAGCCAATGGCGTGTGGGCACTAGCTAACCTTAGTCTCAGTGCAGCCTGGGATCCACCCCTGCAGACAAAGTTCTGATCTCCTGGACCCATCTGGAAAACAAAGTTGGGTTTGTCTGGATTTGGTTTGTTAACTCAGCCAGGAGTGTAACTAACATTAGTAGGACATAATGGTACTCCTCTAATACAAGTGTCCTGAAAATATTCTTCATTAATAGCAGATCATAGAGCCCAAAATTGAGCAGTTCATGCCATGTCTCCTCACATTGTGCTCAGCCCTGTGAAGAGAAGACATGGAGCTAGCAGGACAGGAATACAGATACTTCATCTGCATATTTTTATTTCTGCTCCTCTTTGAGGCTGCTCAATCGAGCATCAAAACAGTACTTATATGAGGTGGGATGGGAGATGAGGAACTGAATTACTGTGTTTACTCCCTCTCTTGTCACATCCCTGTTTTTCTTATTGTTTAGTTTGACAGGAGCTGGGAAGCTCTGCTTTGCAGCAGGTGGTATCCAGCCACAGCACAAGATGCCTTTGCCTGGCACTGGCCAGAGCTCAGCAGGGCTGGGGACCCTCTGACGTACCGAGAGGTATCAATTCACCTCCTCCTGCCCTTCACCTACATCCACAGGTAAGGTACCCACTCCTGTAGTATCCCCACTGAATGCATTAAAAAAAACTGAAGGCAGCCCACTGCTCTCCTTACCTAAGTTCTCCTCTTGGCTAGCAGGAAAATAAGCCTGGAATTTTGAGACCTGCTGCCCGTCAGATTAAAGTCCCTACTACTATGAGGATGGACTATAGAGCCTTATTCATCTGTGCATCTTC